ACCCTGAGGGTTAGGGCATCACCTGCAATCATTTATGAGAGCTCACCCAAGATCTGTATCTGTGAGAGAACTGGTCTTTACTTGCCTGCCTACATCGACCAGCTTCTTCAAACTGCAATCTATCAGGAAGTTACTAGGGAGAGAGAAGGAAATTACATTTAAGGCTTCATCATATACACACTACGTGGGAGCTGTTTGTTTAGGAGGGTAAGAAAATGGTGGAGCTCCCAGCTGGCAGGGGCACTGGACCACCAGGGTAGTGGGCTAACAATTTTTCTTCTGGAGAGAGGGAGATGAAGCTTTGAGGACAGAGAAAGATGGAGATGAAAGGGGAGCAAGGGAGAATAGGGAAATAGAGCTGGAGGTGAAAGAGGGAGATGGTGATGGAGTTGGAGAGAGGGTCTGAGTGGCAAAAGGAAGATGGAGCTGGAGGAGGAAAATTGAGCTGGAGATGTAAGACGGAGATGGGGGGGAGAGAGGGAGATGGAGGAAGGGAATGGAGGGGTGAAAAGAAGATGGAGGGAAGATGGAGCTGGGGGAGGGAAAATGAGCTGGAGGTGTAAAAGGGAAATGGAGGGGAGAGAGGGTGATGGAGGGAGGGTATGGAAGGGTGAAAGGAAGGTGGAGATGAGGGAGATGGAGGGGAGAGAGGGAGATGTAATTGGAAGGAAATGCAAATTACATATATGACACAAAAGGCACGTATCTATAGAATTCTGTGTGTATGTAGTCATGTAAATTATATATCTTGGGTGGAATATTTATATACTAGAACAAAATATAATTGATACCTATTTTTGATGTTCTTTATTTTGAAGGAGGGGGAAAAGGAAGATAAAGCTGATGGAGATGTAGGGCAGAGCAGGTGGAGGGGGACAGGGGAATGGAGCTGGAGGAAGAGAGATTGAGGGAGGAGGGAGATGAAGCTGGGGAGAGTGGGAAATTAAGCTTTGAGAAGAGATTAAGATGGAGCTGGGTGGAGAGAGGGAGCTGGAGGGGAGAAGGCTATAGAGATAAGGGGGGCATGAGGCTATTGGCATCACTAATGTTAGTTGTTTATGAGTATGTAACAAGAGAGACATGCAGTTAACCACTAAAGCACTTCAGCGAGCACATGTGCTTTAGGAGTCTGTAGTGTCTCTTCAAGAATAAACAAAATAACTACTTTATTTTAAGCAGAAGTGCTATTACATAGAGTCAACATTTGAGTCCCATTACCAGGCTTTTTACAATATGAAATGGGACTGAAACAATGAGTGCATTCTGTTCCCCTTAGAATAAAGTCCTTTGAGAGCAATCCTTAATAGTGGAGAAACAAATTGACATTTTATATCTTTCTACCTGTATATCTGCACAAAATACTTCATTATATAGGTGGTATATTTTTTTTATTCTAAGTCCGACCCTGCCTGCATCTTGTTTGGTCCAGCAGGAGAAGCCCAGTATCAGAGTAAAGTATGGCCAATACATGTATGTACGTAGTGGGGAATCGCGATGCAGCCTAGCACAAATCTAAACCCATTTATCCCCCAATAACGACAGACCACTTAGTATGGATGAACAGGCCACAGCATTTATTATCACAAACTAAATTACTGCATAACACATCCATAACTTTATTTATTAAATCTCTTCTTTCTGTAACCAAAATGTTAGACATAAATAAGCATAAATTAACATATATACATATATAACTCCACCCATAGTGTTATACAGTGACCCAACCGTCCTTGCCAATAAACATACAGTGGTTCCTAATCACCACTTCCTCTCACCTCCCCCCTCGTCATAAAAATCATATATTTCCAATGCCCGCCATCAGCCGACCTTATCCACGCTCGATGGGCACGACACCTCAGGCAACCTAATGTTTAACCTTTTGAAGCAGGGGAGGTTGAGACCTAAAAAAACTTGTTCATCTCATTCCATATACTTAAACGTAACCACTCAAACTCAATTGGCAAGGACATACCCCTGGCTAGCTGTTACGAAATATACCAATAGGGCGGGCAGAGGGAAGCTGTTTGCTGGCCCGAATCCCAAGTGGCACTGAGGTAAGACCTCCCCCACACTAACTTACACAGAACATAATCCCACCCACACACTCTTTCCCAACCAATCCCATGCATCTATCCCCACACTCCTACATGTGCCCTTCTCCGCTTAGCTGCACTATCTCCCCAGGGCCTGTTTTGCTACCATGAAAATGAATGGGACATATCATGCTAGTGTGGAATGTTTAAAGGCTGGTTTGTTTTTAGAAAATTATTCTTTCATTGGTCCTTAAAGGGTCACTGTAGGCACTTTAACAACATTATTTTATTGAAGTTGTTATAATGACTGGAGTCCTGCCCCCCATCCCATTTAGTTCACTAATTAGAGGGATTGGAAGCACAGATTCAAGCCACACCTTCAACCCCTCTGGGTATGAGAGACAGGAATTTCTCTCCCTGACTCGGATACCATAAAATAGAGATGTCATGCGAGGTTTTGTCATTATCGTCCAAAGATAATCATTTTTGACAGAATCTTAGGTGCATCTTGGTAAGAACCACGCATGCACCTACGGTCCCAGTGCTTTTCTATGAAAAGTATTGGATTGGTCCAGAGAAAACGTGAATAATTTTATTTGATTTGACTTTAATTTGTTTTTATTTACACCTAACTGATAAGGTGCATCAGGGTTGTAGCATTGGGAATACAGATTTGTATTCCTAATGTTTCAGTGCTACAGTGTTCCTTTAAGGAAATGAGAATTATTGAAAGTTAGCATAGCCATGTGAATGTGGATTTTGCAACTTTGCATTGATGAGACAAAAGAACTAAAGCACATTGGAAAGAGTGTGTGGATGACCAAAGAAATCGGAAGTGAAGATCTGCAAAAGTGATGTGTGGTGTGTGAATAAGCAAGGGAGAATCAATACACATATGTGGGCAAGTAGATTCGAGAATGTAGGACTAAGGAAGAGATTAAAAACGAGGAGTTTGTCAGAGTGTATATTTATAAATTTGGTTCTTCTATATCTACTTATTTAATGGAATGCAGTTCAATAGCCTTCAGATCTCACAATCCTGGATTCTACAAACAGGGCATTTCCTCATGTTACCTAATCCACCTGGTTAAAGAGTTGCACTTCTGATCTCTTATCTTTCTTTTATTATTATTTTTCCTTAACTTTTTTATTTATACCTACCTTGGAATTAAAAACAAGTTAGACATTAATATTTTACTCTTTAATGGTAATTGCTATGGGCATCCACAATAAGAGAGAGACAGAAGTGAGAGGGAATATAGGGAGAGGAAGAGTAGATGGAGATGATGGGAAATGTTAAAGGGAGACCATGAGAGTGTTAAGGGGGAGTCTAAATGAAGAAAGAGGCAAAAGGTGGGGAAGGAATATGGAGAAAAGAAGAGAGGGGTTGAGGGGAAATATGGAAAAAGCTGAAGGTGCATGTGTGTGGGGGGGATATTGAGAGATATGAAGGTGTAAGGGGACAAATATGGAAAAAAAATTAAGGTGTGGGGTTAGAACTTGGTGATGGGGACAGAAAGTGATCAGAGAACATATAAAGGGAGAAAAGATGGGTAGAATATGAAAAAAGTTGAAGATGTATGGGGAATTATATGATGAGAGAGACACAACGTGTGGGAAAATATGGAGAGAAAGACACATGAGGGTTATGGAAAGAGACATCACTGGGGAAAAGGGGATAATGGGAGAAACACATGGGGCAGATGGGAAGACAATTACTACTAGAGAGTAATGGTAAATGATGATGTAATATGAGAGTTTTATTGCTGTAGAACTCTGTTATACTTTTGTACACAGAGGTTACAAAATTAATGTGGCTAGTCAGTACATTGTTAAACACAGAGCTGCACACCAGTCAAGTCATAACATAGAAACATAGAATGTGACGGCAGATAAGAACCATTCGGCCCAATTGTCTAAATACTCTAATTAGGTCCCTGGCCTCTTCTTATAACTAGGATAACCTTCTGCCTATCCCACGCATGCTTAAACTCCTTCACTGTGGTAACCTCTACCACTTTAACTGGAAGGCTATTCCATACATCCAAAACCCCCTGAGTAAAGTAATACTTCCTGATATTATTTTAAACCATTGCCCCTCTAATTTAAGACTATGTCCTCTTGTTGTGGTAGTTTTTCTTCTTTTAAAGATAGTCTCCTCCTGTGTTGATTCCCTTTATGTATTTACATTTTTCTATCAAATCCCCCCCTGTCTCGTCTTTCCTCCAAGCTATACATGTTAAGCTCCTTTAACCTTTCCTGGTAAGTTTTATCCTACAATCCATGAACCAGTTTAGTAGCCCTTCTCTGAACTCTCTCCACAGTATCAATATCCTTCTGAAGATACGGTCTCCAGTACTGAGTACAATACTCCAAGTGAGGTCTCATCAGTGTTCTCTGCAATGGCATGAGCCTCTTTCTACTGCTAATACCTCTCCATATACAACCAAGCATTCTGCTATCAAATATTCTATACTCTGCCCTTGGGTTTTTACATCCAAGATGCATTATATTGCACTGATCCACATTAAATGTCAGTTGTCACAGCTCTGACCCTTTTCTAGTTTAACCCCTTAAGGACCAACCTTCTGGAATAAAAGGGAATCATGACATGTCACACATGTCATGTGTCCATAAGGGGTTAAACAAATAATTTGCCATTTGGCTTAACTGTCCTGGAACATCAACCCTGTTGCAAAGCTTAGTATAATCAGCAAAAAGACATACCTTACCATCTATACCAGTGATGACGAACCCGAGTGCCCAAACCATAATACATGCCAATTTTTTTCCCCTCAAAGTGCCAAAACGGCAATTAAACCTGAATACTGAGGTTTAAGTTTAGAAAAAACAACTCATACAGTTGTCCGAACTAATTAACATCTCTGTGTGTGTATTAAGCAGTTTGTGTGTGTGCTTGGCAGTCTGTCTGTATGTGTATTTAGCAGTCTGTCTGTGTGTATTTAGCAGTCTGTCTGTGTACTTAGCAGTCTGTCTGTATTTAGCAGACTGCTGAATACACACACAGACTGCTAAATACACACACACACACAGACTGCCAAGTACACACACACACACACATAGACTGCTAAATACACACACACAGACTGCTGAGTACACACACACACAGACTGCTGAGTACACACACAGACTGCTGAGTACACACACACAGACTCCTAAATACACACACACAGACTGCTGAGTACATACACACACACATACTGCTGAGTACACACACACACACACAGAAACTGCTGAGAGTACACACACAGACAGATTGCTGAGTGTACACACACAGACAGACTGTTGAGTGTACACACACAGACAGACTGCTGAGTGTACACACACACAGACTGCCGAGTGTACACACACTGCATTGAGGGGTACAGTGTATGTGTTTGTGTGTGGGGTGATGTGTTTGTGTGTAGGGTGATGTGTGTGTGTGGGGTGATGTGTGTGTGTGTGGAGTGATGTGGGGTGGTGTGTGTGTGTGTGTGTGGGTGGGGTGATGTGTGTGGGGTGGTGTGTGTGTGTGTGTGTGGGGTGATGTGGGGTGGTGTGTGTGGGTGTGTGTGTGTGTGTGGGGTGGTGGTGTGTGTGGGGGGGGAGATGTGTGTGTGTTTGTGAGGGGTGATGTGTGTGTGTCTTTGTGTGGGGTGATATGTGTAGGGCAGGGGTGCTGTGTGTATGTGGTCCTCCCTCTTCCCCCTTCTACTGCTTCTTTCCCCATCCCTCCCTCTCTATTTTTTTTCTCCTATCACACACTCTAAGCTTTTCCCCCATACTTCCCTCAGTTTCTCATCTCCCTCAAGCTCTATCTCCTCAGTCCCCCTCTATCTCCTCTTTTCATAGTTCTCTATCTCTCTCCCTCAGTTCTATCTCTCCCCTCAGTTCCCTCTATGTATCTCTCCTCAGTTTCTCTATCTCCCTTAAGTCCCCATCTCTCTCTCCCCCTCAGTTTCTATCCATCTCCTCAGTTCTTGCATCTTCCCTCAGTTTCTCCATCTCTCTCTCAGTTTCCCTCTATCTTCCTCAGTTTCTCCATACCTCCTCAGTTTTTACTCCCCATACCGCCTCTTTGCTCCCTCTATACTCTCAGTTTTCTTCCCCTCTATACTTCCCTCAGTTTCTCCATCCTCCCTTAGTTTCATTCCTCCTTGATCTCCTACCTTGTGCCATAGGTTTGCCATCACTGATTTATACCCTCTGCAATATCACTAATAAAAAATATTAAAGAGAATGGGTCCAAGTACAGATCCCTGAGGTACCCCACTGGTGACAAGCCCATGTTTTGAATTTACCCCATTGACTACAATCCTCTGTTGTCTGTCACTCAGCCACTGCCTACCCCATTTAACAATATTGGAATCCAAACTTAAAGATTGCAGTTTATTGATAACCTTCTATGTGTGACAGTGTCAAAAGCCTTACTCAAATCTAGGTAAGCAATGTCTACTGCACCACCCTGATCTGTTATTTTAGTCACTCAATCAAAAAAATCAATAAGCTTAGTTTGGCATGATCTCCCTGAAGTAAACCCATGTTGTCTCTGATCTTGGAATCCTTGTTATTTTACAATCCTATTCTTTAACATGGTTTCCATTACTTTCCCCCGTACTGAAGTAAGGCTTACTGGCCTATAATTGCCCAACTCCTCCCTACTACCTTTCTTGTGAATGGGCACAACATTCGCTAATTTCCAATGTTCTGGGACTACTCCTGTTAACAATGATTGGTTAAATAAATCTGCTATTAATACAACAAAGAATCACCTTTCGTGCCTTATTATTAGATTTTAAACATGGATTCCGAGTTTATATACGCTGTATAAAACAGCTTTGAAACACAACTCAGAAAGAGATGCAAAGCCAGTTAACCACTCTTGGAAGGCTGTTTTGTTGTTAATACAACTCATCAGCATGAGATGGTTACTGGCTTGCTATTGAGGCTTGGCGTTACTTGCGAAGAACAAACCAAGAAAGTTATGGTAGGAAAGAAAGTCCACCTCAAGTCAGTGGATAGTCAATATATTGTTAAACACAGATCTGCACACATCTTCCTGAGTTGTATACAGCAACCAGAAACTCCAAGGAACCCATGTTTAAAATGGAACGATGATTCTTTGTTGAACTAATTGCATATGTGCACCCAGAAACCCTTTGTAGTAACATAACTGCAAATTTGAGATTTTTGTGAGAAATATATATATTTATATATAGTTGTGTTAGAAAGTTTCCATACAATGGAAAATTGGTAATATATGCATCATTTTTAAAGGAAACATCAGTGAACAGGCAAAACACATTTCTTATATTTCTTATGGGATTCATATTTAACTTTAGATTATAAAAGAATGGCACATTCATAAAACAAAACATGGCAACAAAGAAAAAAATTAAGTGACCCCTGTTCAAAAGTCTGCATACCCTTAGTTCTTAATACTGTGTATTGTCTATTAAGTATCAATAACAACGTGCATTTTTTTGTTATAGTTTTCTATGAGGCCCCTAATTCTTGCAGGTGGTATAGCCAGGGCCAGATTAAGAGCCCAGTGGACCTGGTGCTGACAATTATGACGGGCCTAATTACAGAATCATATCGACCAAAAACAGTAAAACACTCCCAAGCGTCATGTATCTGATGGAGATGGTGCTGGAGAGAAAGAAAACAGCAGCTATAAGAAAACACATACCCTAGGCTAATCTCTCTCTAATTTATGTTTTTATCTTTCAAGTAAATCCATAACCCCCAACAGCAGTGTCCAGTCAGGCAGGAAGTCAATGGGCACGGTAAAAGGGTGTGCCACTGACACAAATCACGTAACCTGCCAAAAGGGGCGAACATGCCCAAAAAGAGGACATGTCTGCCCAAAGAATTAGAAGGCCAGCCTTGGTATATCGTGCATGTCAGTTGCCTGCCACCTATGCAGCGCTGGTCAACTAAGGGCATATGTAAGATAAAGCACCCTGAGGTTACATAAATGCATCTAGATGCTTGCCAACGCTTAAGGACCCTGTCCCTAGCATTTGCTAAGTCCACTTGTCTCCTCACTTTCTTACTAGTGCAGGCAGAAGTCTGGTATAGTCTGGGACAGAGAAAAGCTGTATGTAGTGTAGCCATTGTTAGAGAGACAAGTCAGCATTACCTTAAAGGATCAGCTCATAGGTCAGGAACACAAACATGAATCTATGACCTATAGTGTTAACACCACCATCTAGCCCCCCATGGGCCCCTCATGCCCCCATAAATATAGCAAAATCTTACTGTATTCAAGCCTGAAGCTGTAACTCTGCATGCTGTTAGACTCAGAAAAACAAGCAGTCTGCTGACATCATTAGAAGTGGTGGCCTAATCCAATCACAGTGCTTACCCATAGGATTGGCTGAGTACACTAGGCTGTAATGTAAAGACTGCATTTTCTCTGAAAAGACAGTGTTTACAGCAAAAAGCCTGACGGTAATGATTCTACTCACCAGAACAAATTCAATAAGCTGTAGTTGTTCTGGTGACCCTAGTGTCCTTTTAACTATATTCATTGTCAGCCAGTCCACACAAGTTTTGTTCCAATATATCCCTCTTAAGTTTCCATACTTAAGTAAGGGTATGTGAAAAGTAGTTAGAGTTGCCACCTTTCTTGGAAAAACATACCGGCCTTGCTAATTTGCATAATTAAATATGTATGGGTGACATCACATGATGTAAATCATAAGGAGTGACATAAGAGAAAATGCTGTAAAATCACCAAAAAACTACTTAGTTTGATTCTGCTGTATAGATGGATTCCTGCCAGTGCCCCCATGTGTCGATTACTCCAGGTCTCAGTGTTCCTATGTATAAGTGTCTCAGTACCCCATGTCTACCAGTGTCCCCTAGTGTCGTGTCCCCAAGTCTCCCAGTGATCCTATGTATCACAGTGTCTCAATGCCCCATATCTCCCTGTGTCCCCATGTATCCCAGGGTCCCCATGTCACTAGGAAGACGGGGAGACCTAGGGACACGGAGACACCGGTGACACTGGGAGACTAGGGGACTCTGGCTGGGACGCATGGGGACACTTGAAGACATGGGGACACAGACACTAGAGACACTGGCTGGGGGACATGGGGACATTGAGACATGGGGGCACTGGGAGACATGGGGACAAGGAGACACCAGGGCCACAGACACTAGGGACACTAGCTTGGAGACATGGGGACATTGAGACACTTGAGGCACTGGGAGACATGGAGGCACTAGGAGACATGGGGACAGTGAGACACTGGCAGACTGGGGGCACTGGGAGACTAGGGGGCACTGGGAGACTAGGGGGCACTGAGACACCAGGGACACTGGCTGGGAGACATGGGGACACTGGAAGACTGTGTCTGTGTCATAATGTCTCCCAATGTCCCTTAGTGTCTCAGTGTATGTCTCCTTGCAGCCTTTCCCCCATCCCTTACTTCCCTGAGCTGTAGGCTGTCTCTGCAGGGTGGGAGTTGCTGTTTGTGCTCTCTGTAGCTGCACCCTGCAGATCAGTGAGTATAGATAGGCAGGGAGGGATATGCTGGAACTTCCTATCCCTGCCTGTCTCCACACACAGTGACCCCTACTGGCCAGTGCTGGTATTGCATAGTAATCTCTTGTTTATACTAAGAAAAATACCAGAATTTGTATTGCCAGTATCACTGTAATATTGGCACCAGCCAGGCAGCCTCAAATACTGTGCCAATAAAATAAAAGCCAGGTGGAATCCTTAAGAGTAGTGTGTGGGGGGGGCGGGGCCTGACCGGGGAGCTGAACAGACACGCTTTCTGTGAGCTCCCAGGCCTGAATCTGATTTTTGGCAGAAAACAGTGGGAATACAGCCTATCTCAGAACCCCAACTTACCCCACCTTGCTACATGGAGGCAGGGGT